AAAACTACAAAGGATAGTCAATGACAGTCAATGAAGGTCAATGACGAAGACTCTTCTTGACGAAGGCACAAGCTCGACGACGCACCATCAGCATTGACGGAAGACGAAGTCAAGTAACAACCTCCTATTTTTTAGGAAGAGGATAAGTAAAGACTTAGTCCAAACTTAGCCTAATCAGTCCGTTGGAATTCAAAACAGAAGAAGGAATATTTTCAGCAACTGAAGTCCGAAAATCATGGGCACGATTCTATCTCCATGCAACGGCTAGAGTTTAACCTAGCAACCATCTATATAAAGGGCAGAGCAACGACGAGTAGGACACATCCTCGTCCAGTAATATACACATTGTTTCACATCTTGTAAACTGAGATAATTATTTCTTGCATAGTGAAAGTTTGGTAGATCCTCATTCTACCCGCGGTTTTTACCTTCATTGGGTTTTCCGCGTCACCAATTCCTTGTGTCGATTATTCCCTTTCTTGCCATGTTTTATTTTCTTGATTTTTCTTAGTTGATCCGTAGCCTAGATTTTGATATTCAATCCCACTTAACAAAAATTAGCATAAACAACTGGCATTATTTTAGCCAGTTGCAATTAGTATTTTAGCAACTAGCGTACTTAGTTTCAGTTGCTAATAGGGCGCTGCTAATAGCTTTTTAAAAATGAATCAAGAACTTTTGGTTCTATATCTGGAATATTGTTAAAATCCTGAGTTGGTGCACTTTCCTTAATAAGAATCTCATTGGCTTCTCTCACATCATCATCTTCACCCACATCACTCTCCACCATAACATCATCACTTAGCGCATGCATCTAGCTCGGGGTGTAATGAATTATAATCACCAAAGGAAGCAAAGCATGTATGAGGTGAGGGAGTTGGAGAAGTCACATCCGATAAATGATGAACAACATAATGATCATCAGTAAGCATTCTTGTAAAATGATACTCTCCCTTCATTAGCAATTCTTCCTGACGAGTTTGGGACCATACCCGACAAAGATTGAACGGTAGGAAAAGAACCCGTGTTATCAACCACACTTGCCTGCTTGGGAACCAATTCTAAATACAATTGAATGTTAGACATTGAATATTGTCTTACAGCAACCCACATGTTTTTTTAATGAGGTATCATCATTCAATCAAATGGGTGCGTATGAGTTGTATATGGGATACCTCTTATCATCTTCAACTCAAAATATCGAGAATCACACCCCATAACTTCATATATCTTACTCAGAACCTCCGAGAAACCCATAGAACTACTGACAAGCAAAAATCTATTCTCCTCACCAATATATGACACGTCACCTCTTGTTTATACAAGTTCCCCGTGTATAAAACAAAGTAGAGGGAAATATGACATCTCCATATTCTAAATAATGAATTTTAGCATGCAAATTACACAAAGCCACAATTTAAAATATGTAACTTCATAACCAAATTAAGAATACATAAATTAAAGGATTATTGCATGCATTGATATTGTTTAAAGAACCAAATTACTAGAACAGAGGTTGCACATGAACAACTTCTACCACTCAAGTAAAGCATCAAATTATACTCATAAAAATATTGCATTATCATCATGAAAGTTTAGAAATTTACGCTCATACATACGCATAGTATCAAATTAATTTAGGAATTACACTACATTATACATGATGAATGAATAAAATTAAAAAGGAAAATTAGGGCTAACCTCTCACAATTGATTGTAGAAATATACAATTGGGACAAATTATGGGCGCCATACCGCTGCTGTAGAGATGTACGGACGTCGCCGACGTGAACTGCTGCCAGGGTGGTCGTTCGTGGTGGTTGCCGCTATGGAGTTTGGGTGATGCTCTCCTTTTTCATTTTTGTTTTTCGTATAATATGTCAGAGGAGATTACAAAGAATATTATAAGTAAGTGTGGCATTACTTAAATATTATAAAAAAAAAACGGCTAATGTCGTTAGCGGTTCGTATCTAAAAACCGCTAATGGTTTTAGCGGTTCTTTATTTAATTAATAATAAAAAAATAACAAAGCTGGTACGAATCCTACGTGCACAGTACCGCGAGAATAAGTATTTAAACCAATGTAATCAGGGAATTAATTTGTAACTAAACAATTTCTACGGAAATCGTTCCTTTCTTTTATATGAAACTAAGATTGTACATCCGAGTGCACCATGCAGTTAAATAAATAAAATGCAAAATGAACATTAAGGTGTTTGAAAAAGAACATACAAGTATTTGACAAAGAACATACTTATGTTTGACAAAGTACATACTTATATATGTTTGATAATATGTTCTTTGAGCATAAACTATATTTTTTTTTACATTATAACTTATTCTTTAACATATGTTAATTAAATATATTTTTATATAATAGAAACATATTACCATTGTATGTTTTTCAAATTTGGCTTGTGTGTTCTTTGAGGTAATGAATGACGCACAAATTCTATTTTTTTATTATCATTGTATGTTCTTTGAGTTTTTTATTTTTATTTTTTGATAGGAAACTCTCTCAAACTCTATTAAGACATATTCAAAACGTCAAAGGTTACAACATCTAAAGCACTCCAAGGGAGTTCTTCTAGCCACACTCGTAGATCATCATAACACTTGCTTAACTATGTAAGCCTATGAGCCACACCATTACCTAATCTTCCCACATGAGAGAAACAAATAAAAGAGCAACTATTTGTAAGAACTAAAATATCTTTAAGGCAAATTTGTTAAAAAAAACCTTTTAAATGTCTTATTTTGTAAGAAAAAAGCTTTTAAACGATTCTTTGTTAAAAATAACCACCACGATCAATTTTTTTTTCTAAAGAAACCTCCCCCCTTCTTTTCCGGCATTGACTACAACTTTCCGGCGTTGACTTCTTATTTACCCCAGTTGCACTCAAGCATTTTTATATTTGCACTCCCCCGTTTACTTTCCCCTCTTATTCTCTCCTCTTATTTTCCCTCCAATTCCCATGTACTCTCTCTCTTTTTTCTTCCATGAATGCTCTGCAATTCCATCAAATCAGTTTGGGTTTCTCTCTCTCTCTCTCTCTCTCTCTCTCTCTCTCTCTCTCTCTCTCTCCTATGCTGCTCACATTTGTGAACAATAACCTAAGGCAAGATTAAATTTATCATCTAATTACTAGAAATAGAGTAAAAATTGGGGCTTTTTTTACTCAAACTTGGAACTAACGTATTTTCTGTTTTCAATGGATAAAGGAGGAATAAATAGGTCGTTAATTTGGACGCAAATAAAGTTTCTTAATTACTTTGTTCAGTACAAACCGAGGTATATTCTTCAATTTTGCACTCAATTGCATCCATGAATTGAATAAAAGTTAGGGTTTAATTCATAAATAAGAGGAAAAAAAATAATTTACCTAACTGTTGCTGCTTGTTGTAGAATTTGCACTGTGATGTTGAGGCCAAACCCACAAAATTTTATGGATTGTTAAATTTGTTGCCTAAAATTGTTCAAATGTTGCTAATATGTTGAATTTCTTCGATTTCGATTTGGTTTCTTTGTTTGTCAGGTTTAATGGTAGAAAAAAGAACTCACAGTAAGAGAAAAATTACAGTGGAGAGAAGAATGGTAGAGAGAACCCTAGAATGGTGAAATCACCACTACAATTATGGAAGAAATACATGAATAACCCTAAATTACCTTTTAGTTCTGTGAATTAATTTGGGGATGCTTGTCCTAGATTATAGATAAAGGGAAAATTAGGCTACCCAAAAAACGAGGGAAAATCACCAAACAATGGGGTGCAAAAAGGGAAATTAAGAGGTCAGCCCCTGAAAGTTGTAGTCAATTTCGGAAAAGAGGTGGAAAGTTTCTTTAGACAAAAAAGTTGATCGTGGTGGTTTTTTTTTAATAAAGAATCGTTTAAAAGGTTTTTTCTTTCAAAATGAGCCAATTAAAAGGTTTTATTAACAAATTTGCCTATCTTTAACCATTAAACCAAAAGTTGTATTGTAAAATTTTCTTTCCACCAAGTGGTTAAATAGCTTAAGAGAGTTAGTTTAACAATAAGCTTGTGAAGACCAGCTTCAAGGGCGATAGTAAGGCCATGTCTTGTTGCCATAGCTTCACCAATATCAGCTTAATAGCTTCCCTAAATGTTCCAGCACGTAGCTGCCATGGCATCTGCAACCGAATCTCGAACAACACCCCCAAATCCAGTAGAACCATTGTCAGGTATTCTCTATGTATGAACTGTATGCTCTTTACATTATAACATATATTCTTTTAACATATGCTATTTTGAATTTTGAAATTTTATTTGAAAATGAAATCTTGAATTATTTTTAGCTCAAAATAATTTAAGAGAGAGAAAACTAAAATTATCATGGGAAGTTGAATTTTTGGAGAGAGAAAAAACTATTTTTGAAGAAATAATATCTTTGGTAAAGATTTTTTTCCATTAATATGTAATTTTCTATGAAATTTCAAAAAAGTTTTTATCACGTTCTTTTTGTAATGTCTTTATATTCTTTGGTAATGCATCTTCTTTGTCAAACACAAATATGTTTTTTGTCAAACACATATATGTTCTTTTTCAAACATCTGTATGTTTTTTTTCAAACACCTTTATGTTCTTTCTGCCCTTTTTTTTTTTAACCGGTTGTATGATGCACCCGAGTGCACACATTATTCATTACCACAAGGATTGTTTTCCTGTTGTTTCGTTTTCTTAAGTTGTAAACTTGTAATATCGTCCAACTTAACCTTGCGTGCACATTCTTTAGTTGGATTTCTTTAGCCCATGAATTAAATCCATTCTTTAGTTGGAATTCATTAGCCCATGAAATAAATTTGTGCCCAGAGTACCTTTAGCCCATGAATTAAATTTGTGCCCGGAGTACAATAGGTACTCCAATTGTGCTTTCATTTTGTTTTTTTTTTTGGGTTTAAAGCATGATACTCTAGATATACCTAATACAAATTGGTAAGAGTCCAAATTATGTAATAAGAAATTAACCACAAACAATCCTCTTTTTCAGCAAACTACTCAATGAACCAAAAGCTTCAAAACTTGATTTTGGATCGACTTGTGTTGGATATTGAAAGAAAGTTTTCTATACAAAACATTAAAAAAAGAGAAACAATTTCTACGAAGAGGGAGTGCCTTACTCTGCTTCACTAACACATCCATAAGCTACTAAATCTACTGTACAAACCTATATCTACTATATTTTGTAAGTCGCCGTCAATCTGGAAGGCCAATAGTATGTTTCACATTTTCAGCCACCAGGTTGATTGTCTATCCATGACCCTTTTCTCTAATTTTGAAGAAGCCAAGAGTTTCAGTTGAAATTTTGAGTAGTTCAAGGAGCTACCTAACAAATTCCAGGTATGAAACAACTGCTACCACCTGAACTGCCTATACTACAAGATAAATCACGGACGAGAAACTTGATGCTGTTTTTTCCAAGATATTCCATTATTTCTAGACACTCTTGTAAATCTGAATCACTTACTAGCATCACCCATTCCTCTTCATCATCAAGGTACTTGAGCTGGAAGGTTCCTACCTGGATCTTAAATCGAATTGCGACTTCTTCGTACAGGTGAAGACATCCAGTACAGGGCTCAAATTTAAAGCGGACCGTATCATCCTTATAGGTGGCTTTAATTGCAATTCGTGATCCACCATCTTCATGGCTCATTTTATCTTCGGATTGTCTCTGCTTATGATTACTGTTAGGTGAGCTAGACGTGGATCCAGAAGCTTTTGACGAGTCTGTCATGCCTGAAGAAGTAGCCTGATTGTGCTCAGTCACTCCGTCGTCACTTTCCATCTCATCTGGAGCAACTGTACATCCAGGGTTCTGGGAAACAAAATGACGGTATTGACTGTGATCCCTAAGATGAAGTGATCCAATGTCTAAATCAGACTTTCGCACCTCTTCAATACAATCACTCGATGTAATTGATTTTTTTTGTTGTCCAATTACACAAGAATCATTCTCCAGCTTAACAGCTGGAATTTCTCCGACTAGACATGTGGAAGGGAAGCACAGTTCATCTTGCTTACCAGTTTCACACTTTCTAACAGGTAAAATTTTGCAGGGCAAAAATAGATTATTCCGAGCATCAAGCTCCTGTATAACGGATCCTGCTGCCACAAGCTCCCCTGTCGTAGGATCAAACTTTAATCCCCCTTCTACTCCCTCAACAGAATCAAGAACAGTTTGGATTTTCCTCAGTGAACGATTCACCTTGTTTATCTTCCGTGAAGGCCATCTTGATATACCATGCTGTCTGCATATCCTTTTTAATGTGGTGGGGCAAACTGCAAAATTATGGGGACTTCTGAGCTCTATTCATTAGCTTATTTAAACATGTTATTTTGGAAAGATCAACAATCTTGCGGCAATGATGGGCTAACACTAGGTTCATTCACAAACTTGATTGACAATAATAACATACTTCAGACTGGGTGCAACACATAAAATAAGTACCACTTCAAAATACGTGTATAGAATGCATACATTCCTGCGTATTAACCTTGAGCACACTACAAACTTGAAATTTTTAAAGAGCTAGGAAAAAAGAAGAAATGTTCAATATGCAACAGAAATTTATTAATGCATAAAAATAGCATTACTACTAAATAGCTATAGCCTAGGTGCTCTTGAATAACGCAGCAATTAGTGAACACCACAATATAAAACTGGGTAGTGCAACAGGAATTAAGAGAAAGTAAAACCTAAAATGCAAAAACAAATATTCTATCCAATGATCAGATGAAACATTTCATTCGAGAACTATAATCATGAAAAAATCATTATACTTTTTTGGGAAATTATCAATGATACACTTCAGGTTCGACTTTTATCAATGATACACCTCATTAAACTTTCATTATTAGCTGTACACCTAAACTTTTCCCTAATTAAGTACAGTAACCAAATGTTAAGTAAACGTTAATTATGATTAGTTAACAGTGTTTTTAAAGGTTAGGAGGCTAAAGATACTAAATTGCCCCACTCATTAAATTTCCCTCCAAATTTTCCTTGCATTTTTCTCTCCGTTTTTGTGAAATTTCCCCTACTTATACACCTTTCTGTTTGTATGCTCCCTTTCCATTCATAGTCTTTTCTTTTTACTTTTTTTTTTTTTTTTTTTTTTTTTTTTTTTTTTTTTCTGAAAAATCAATGGCTTGGAGGGAGATGAACAATCAAAAGTTTTGTATTTAATGTTGTTGGTTGGGTTTGGAGGGAGTGTTAATGAGTGGGTTGGGACTTGGGAGGGGGGGGTGGCATTTTAGTCAAGCCAAGTCAGACCAAAATTGCTATCAACTAATCACACTTAATGTTTAGTTTACGTTGTTAATTAGGGAAAAGTTTAGGTGTACCGCTAACAATGAAAGTTTAATGAAGTGTATCATTGATAAAAGTCAAAACCTGTAGTGTATCATTGATAATTTCCCTACTTTTTTTTTTTGAAATAATAAAATCATTATACTTAGCTTCAAGTTACGGAGTACATCTTAATTTTAGACAATATCCAAAAAACTAAGTGAGGAAATATTACCACCAATGCTTTTTGCAGCATCCTTAAGACTCCCAGAAAAGTACTGCTGCAATACACTTAGGCTTACTGTCTTCTCTGCTGTACTTCGCTTTTTCTCCATTGGTCTTCTAGAACCACTTGCCTACAAAAATAATAAATTATCATTGAAAACTCTGTAACGCCGGAAAAAAAGGGTCTTTCTCACAAGGTCGACCACTTAAAAAAGTCAACGCCGGAGTTCGGTCAATGGACCCTCTACACAACCCAAAATGGATAAAAGGACCTTTTGTGCCATCTTTTTTATAAAAGGGTCTTTCTCACAAGGTCGACTACTTAAAAGGACTTTTCTCGCAAATTTTCCTATATATTTTAATTAAATATATAGTTTATTTTTGTAAATTTTAATAAAGCATAGTCAAACATAGTAATGGCCAAACTAGTAAGTTGGCAAACGTGTATACTCAAAATGATGAAAGCATTGAGAAACAAAGGAAGTAAATATTAAGACGTGTGTATTTAAATGTGGCTCGTGAGCATGATGAGATCATGAGAGTACATCTACCTTGCGATCTGTCACAGGAAACCCTTCTTATTTGAGCTTTTTAAAATTAAGCGTAAAAATTAGATATTAAATTTTTAAAGTACAACAAATAAATGAAGTTCATCAAAGACAGTAGTGTGAAGCCATCAACGTAAAAAATGTCAATTAGTAAAGTGGGATTTATGTTGCAACGCCTATATTCAAGACAAAAAAACAATCCCATCAAAATAATTACTAATCAACTACTCCTAACAAAATCAAGCAGATGCACATTACAGCACAAAACAAATACACACTAATAAGCTATCATAATTAAGCGGCAAAACAGTCAATTTAACTGTTCTCAGTAAAAAAAAAACCCCTCCCCACAACTCAAAAAATTAAGTTCATTAAATGACATAGGAAGCCTTGTTTATAGCCATTGTAGTGACTAGGTACTATTATTTCAAAACTACAGCTCACTACAAAATGAAATCATCTATTTGATATGAGTATATCGAAGAATTATCACAAAATATCAAAGTTTTAATTAGGGGACAGATATGGACAATACCTTCTCAGAATGGCCATCTTCTTTGATTTGATCATTTATTATGCTAGGGGAATCAAAAGACATCTGCTCAGTTCCAATTGATCCGCTTTGAGCAAATAACTGTGGTAAATCTCTTGGAAAAAAGCTTGGTGATGCTTCACGATTTTCAACTTTTGAATCTGGAGAACCTACCAGTTCTGCATCTGTAACAGTCCTTAAGCTCTTGCATATTCTTTGCATGGTACCTGCAAGGCTATCCAACAATAGCTGCTGCTCCTTATTCCCTTTAATATTAAGAGGCAGAAAGAACTCCAATATGTAGTCAGCATTCCCAGTATAAGTGCTCCTTAGTCTAATTGCAACAGCAGCACCCAGCCCAAACTTCCGGGCATGTTGGACAAGTGGATATTCACTAATATGATAATTTTTGATGTCAGGGAAGAAAAATGGAAGATTTGATTGAAGGGCTTTTCCAGCAACACCTTGTCCTTCTTCAAGACAATGTTCTACACATGCAGTGACAAATCCTTGTATTTCTTTATCAATCACATAGCAAGCAGTCTCTTCAATGCACAACACAGACTTTTCATTCAGATTTAAACTATTATCTTGAACATATACACTAAACTTTTTTTCACCATCTTCCTCCTCAAAAGTGCAGGGGATCCATGTAAGAGCCAAAGGCAATCTGTGTGCATGGCACACAGCTCTTAACACATCAGTTATTTCTGCCAAGGCAGTCCTCTGGTTTAATGAGAGGTGCTGTAAGTACCAAATTGAAGAAGTGTTGGATTAGGCTTGCAATTTTTAAAGCACATGCAAGGAGTAAAATACAGGGAAAAATCTATATAGCTTCATAAATCCAGAAATATACCTGATGAAGAAGCCGAGGAGGTGTAGCTGTTCTCAAATTTACTGCCTGAAATGATAGAGAAGATTTAAGAAGCTTCACACCAATTTTGGATGCTGTAAAATATTTTAACTGATACTTCCCTTGTTTTTTTTATTAGATGCATCACTTTCTAAAAATAGAAGTTTTAATTTAGATGCATCACTTTCTCTTTATGTTATTAAATTTTCTCCATCTCTCTCCTATCACATGGACCCTCATTCTTTCTCTCTCTCTACTCCAAAAACTGCCAAGTAGTTTGCAATTAAATAAATGATGTATCTAAATAAAAACAGAGGAAGTTGTAAAAATATGCTATTTATCCAAAGGACTCTATAGGACAAAGGCCAAAAATTAAAGGGCCCACGGATCCCTAGGTAAGAGTCAATACTTGTTTACAGTTTAACATATACTTACCGCCGTTTTTATTAGTTGACACGTATTCCTTTTTAGGAAGTTTTTTAGTTGACACTTTTTTTTTTATTAAGTTTTATACTTTGCATTTACTAGCAACCCCATTTGCTTTATCATTCTCTCTTACTCTCTCTTCTCTTCTTAATATGTGTAGCTAAATTGAACTTGTCAACTATTTATAAATGGAGGAGGTAATCAGCAGCAATGATCATGAAAGATCACATTAGGATGACAATTTTAACAGAAAGCTGTCAAGATGCATTGTTTCCCTGAGACGCTCAATAGAATTAAACATGGAGTGATAGATGAAGACAAGGAAACTGTATGGATCCGGGTCTAAGGATATGTTAATTAAAACAAATATAAGCGAAAGGCCAATTATAGGAATCCTAATGGAAACAAAGATTAGATTAAACGAAGATGGACACTAGTTAATAGATTAATGGGGGAATTAAAGTCAGGAGAAGTGGACACTTGGTTTCAAATTACGCCAGAAGTTGACATTACAAATTTACAACCAAAGTTCAAAATCATAATAACATCTCAACATAAGCGTACGGCAAAAAAAAAATCACCACATGTCAAAACAACATAAATAGATGCATTGAAAATTTGATAGCCCCAAAATTAAGGCTCCAACCTAAACCAGTTAATGAAGGAACAAGTTTTCTAGGATGCGCAAAGTAAAATGACGAACTTACCTCAAGAGCATGGCAAACAGATTCCATCTCTATATCAAAGTTGGATTTTTCTCTCACAGTAACGAGCTCCAACACAGCAACACATGAGCTTTCATCAGGAGAAAATATTGGTAATGCAACAGATCCACGAACTTCATGATCAAGAGCATGTTTAACTCTTAAGTATTCAGCAGAACTATAATAACTTATATTTGAAGTCCACTCTGGTAACTTGGAAATAAATACACGCCCAGGAAGCCCAGGAAAGGAGCCCGGTTTCTGTTCAATAGAGAAAGTATATGACCTGGATACTTCGCGATAACCTAGCAGCATTTGATCAAGCAAGTACGGCTGTTCACACGTGCTCAATATATAGTGATCTCCAGATCTAATAGGAACCCACACTTGAGCCAAAATACCTCCCCCAGATGACTCTTTAAATAATGATAACATACGAAGCATCCTCTCAGGCAGTGAAAGCCCAAGAGGCCGAGGAATTCTATTCTGCGACAGCATAAATATGTTCTCTTGTTTCGAAGAAGAATCATTATCCTCTGATGAACCTACTGGAGGACTAAGCTGTGCATCTTTATGTGGCAGCACCAATTTATCTACATTATTAAGAGGACTTCCAAACACATTCAGAGTACTGCACCCACTGTCATTCATAGGAAATGCAGAATTGGCATTTTCAGCAAAACTAAGTTGATCATAAGCAGCATAATTCATAGGCATAAATGGAAGTGATGATAACACATAAGATGCTAACAACTGCTCATTTGAAGAGGGGCTGTTGCACCATCCACCATAACCATCCAAACTCATCATGTCCGACATGTTTACAAACTGATGATCTTCAGTCGAATTCATTGTTTCGCCATTAACCGACATAGGGATATCTGATTGAGGACTTGTAGAAGCCCAAAAACTATCTCCTTTTTCCTTAGGAGAAAAGGAGTATTCCATGAAAAAAAAAAACAACAAAATTACCTCCTAAAATAACAGGACTAAGACAAAACATACATAACGTAGACACCACCAAAATTTTCTCTTCCACAGCTGAAGTCTTCAATATATTCGTCCCTTCACACCAAGTTAAACCAGGCAGATAATCTGCAGAAAATGAAAACTTGTTCACAAACTTGCAAATTGCAATTCAACCACTTCAAAACAAAGACCTAAGGAAAACAATACAAATAAACAATATAAGCTCACATATATTTAATTTTTTCATCCAGTGATCATCTAGATAGTAATCAATATATTAGCCAAGATCATATTTATAACTATTTATGGAAGTTTAAATGATAGAGTTTTATATTGTGTAAGTTATCTTTTGTAGGCTATAAATATTAGCCAAGATCATCGATACAATTCAACTCATTCTCTCATAAATAATTTAGCATATTTCCATCCTACTCGGGCGTGAGGCACGCACGGGGAGGATGCCTGAATATGTTAAATTTTACAGCCGGGTATAGGATGGACTATATTGACAATAAAATTATATAATGCAAATGCAAAAAAAATAATTTGTATTTACCCTTTAAACAAAGTCAAAATCATTTACTCAATTACTAAGCATCACCTAAAAATAGCAAACATATAATAACAAAAAGAAATACCCAAAAAAAAAAATTACGATTGATTATGATGATACCTTAGTCAACTGATGTTCAAAGTCAGACACAAGATGAGAAATATCCAAAGTTGCATAGATTATAATCACAGGAAATCTTCAAAACCCAACTGTTAAAATCACCAGAAAAATCAAATGAAATGAAAAAAACTGGAAATTTTTTAGCGGGAAATGAATGAACTGTTGAAGCAAATAAATAAATCTTGCTAGAAGAAAACCCTGAACATGAGGAAAAGATTTAACACTAACATTATTAGAGCTGTTGTAATCAAACAACCGACTATTGAACAATAGTTCCTGAAAATCTGACCAAACTTAAGAAATGGGGTGCCTTGAAAATTGAGGAGTTTAATACAGTATTGATAATGGCGGCTGTCCAAAGCATAAATAATAACGGTTTTTTTTTTTTTTTTTTCCTATGAAAATAAGGAAATGATGATGATGAAAAAGAAAAAGACGATGATATAATTAGAAGAAAAAAAAGGGTAGGAATTTGAGAAAGAAAGAGTCAAACTATGAAATTCAGTGCTTTTAAAAATCGGTTGAAATTTGTTTTGTTGTTGGGTTTTGGATTTGGGTAAGGTTGTAATGTAAGGGGTGATGTGAGGAGGTGTTTACAGAAGGATTGATTTAGGGGGAAAAAAGATTTGTTGTCGAAGGACGGAAGGTAGATCCATAAACACCGCTTTGATCTATATGGGATGGGACTTCATCAGTGTGGCCAAAATTGTTGGCGTCACCATTTTGTGGTGTGGGTTCCATTTTTATCGTATTCTTTCTTACTTCTCTCCTAGATTCTCATCCCATACTTGTTATAATCTCATACTCATTTTATGTAGTTCCACGGTACGCTTATCTCGCTTTTAGGTAAGAGGTGTCAAAAGCAAATCCGATTTGATCTGATCCGAAATTGATCCAATTTATATTGGACTCGCATGGACATAATAATTTAGTATGATTTAACTTTAAAAATTTACCCAACCTGATCCGATCATATCAAATCAGATTCGATCATCCGAATTAACACCTCTACTTTTATAGGGCGTTTGATTCATTATATTGGAATGGATTTGTATTTATACTTACTAGGGATATGAATCTTAAATCTCATACTAGTCTAAAGTTGTATGGTTTCATTGTTGAAATGGGTTTTATACTTCATTAATGAAATGGATTGTAAATATGAGAGAGATAGTAGTAGGTAAGGTGAAGTTAGAATTCTTTTAGTATGCGATACTATAGTTAAAAAGTTTAACCAAACAAAAAAATAAATATAACTGTATCTAATTTCATTTCAACCCATTACAAAAGATCTAACCAAACGATCCCTTAAACTTTTAGTTGTAACACTTGAATTTCACACTTGTTAATGTGTAATAGATTTTAAGTATCACTAACTAGTTTGGGACCCGGACAATGCCCCAAGTTATGTTTAAATACAAAATAAATAAAAAAAAAATTACCTTGAATGCAAATAATATCTTGGAACTGTAGGGAATATTTTAAGCATTATCCCTAGCTTGAACCCCACTGTGATAATACACTAAAGTAAGGTGGCGTCCAAAGAGAAAGAAGATAGAGCAAAAGAGTCGCCAACAAGTTTTAGGAACTTGTAAACCGTTCACGAGGTGAAGGCTACACCCCTTAACGATCCAGGAGATCGTCAACTCCAATAGGTTTGGAACCATGACTGCTAGTTCGGGGATGAAGGTACAAATCCAACCTAAAAGAGATTGAACCTGCCCTAATAATAGGCCTCTACTTTATTCTGATCGTATTCATGTGCGCTTTTCTGACTAACATGCAATCATTAGGGTTAACCCTAAACTTGTTTATCTATGTTGGTTGAATATTAATGCAAAAATAAATCTATTATAGGCGATCACTTGAATTATAATCAAATTAACCCTAAACAAGATTAATAATTATCTTATTAAGCGTGATTACAAATACCAATTCCTTTTAAACATGCATAAAAGGCGTGATCAAGCAATAACAATAAAATATAATCAAGCAACATAATTATCATCATAAAAATAATAATAATAAATCATAACCATGTTAAAACATAATAATAATAGTTAGATCCTAGGCATGATACTAACAAGATTAATAACAAGCCCTATACTAGCATGTCACTAGACAATAAAAATCAAAGCTTTAACCCTAACATGATACTATTATGAATATTAGGAAGAGAATAAAAGGTATCGCAGGATTCATGATTGATATAAGCAAATCACCCTAAATATCATACTAAAGAAAGCATCCTAACATGATACTAGGAATATAATTAATAAAACATCCTAACATGATACTTGGAATCAAAATAATATTCTAAGCATGATTTATATATCATAAAATCAATAAACTTGGATGCCTCATACCTCTTTCTAATAACAAAATACACACGTTAGTAATTTCAAGGAAAATAATAATTAAAACAATTAAATCAAATAATTGAAATAGAGATTTGGGACCAAACCCTCATAAATTAAAACCTTTCACGTCTAGGCCGAAGGCAACTTCGAACAATGATAGGTATGTCTAGTGCTAACGTATGAGGAATTGTGTTTGTAAAAAGAGTTGGTTTAGAAAGAGAGAGAGAATCAAGAAATTCTTAATGAGAGTTGATGAGAATTGATGATTGAAAAAATGGGAGATATGACCTTTATTTATAGAGAAAAAAGAGGGTAGAAGAATAAGAAAAGAATCTGAATTCGAATCGAAAAAAAAAACTCGACGGACAACAGTTTTTGCGGATTTTGTTTTTATCATATCTTTTAATCCAGAAGTCCAAAAAAGGCGCTGTTCTCTTCACCTTAAAAAAATAATATTAAGTAAAATTAATTTCAGTTCAGTAAAAATAAGTTTAGTTCAGTAAAATTAATTTCAGTTCAGTAAAAATAATTTCAGTTTAGTAAAAATAAGTTCAGTTCAGAAAAATTCAGTTTTCTTAAAGAAGAATTATAATAGAAAATCAGTAAAAATAATTTTAGTTCAGTAAAAATAATTTAAGTTTGGTAAAAATAATTTAAGTTCAGTAAAATTAAGTTCAGTTCAGTAAAAATAAGTTCAGTTCAGTAAAAATAATTTCAGGTTAGCAAAATTCAGTTGAATCAAACAGGGCCTAAGACATATAATATGTCGTTGGAAAGCTCTTGAAGTCTACTTTTCAACCCAATTGGAATCAGATTAAAATCTTTTGTAGATAAAAAGATATGACCGAAATAGTGGGACGGTGTCAGTTTTGGATAGAGTTTCATGTTTCATTCATATCTTTTTCGTTATAACTCGGATTTAATATTATAATATATCACTGGAAAGATAATATCAAGATCTATCCAAACCATATAAAATTTGGATAAAGATTATGAGGCACGAAAATAATATCTGACTGTCTTTGATAACTTTAAATTCGAATAGAATTAGGGATTAAAAAAAAGGAAAGTTTAAAAAAAGGAAAGTTTTTATTTAATCAAATTCTTTAATCTTATCTTTTCAAAAAGGATAATTAAGATCTTTTAAGAACTTATAGAAGCTTCTAATTAATCCTAATTAGTTTAGGAATAGGATTAAACCTTTGGACCCTCCACATGATCATTGGGTCGTAGGTAAAATCCGGTTTGGGCCTAGTTTAGTATTTTGGCCATAACTTCCTCATTATTCATTGGAATTGGGCTTATAATATATCGTTGGAAAGGTCTTTTCAAGACCTATCCAACTACACTATTATTGGACCCTTATCATGGACCAAACTAAACTGGAATGCACGTTTTTCATAAATAGGGTAAGAAAAGAAATATTTTCAAAAACAGAAAGAAGAGACATTTAATTAAAAACATCCTCATCACTAGACTTTTCACACTTTCACTTTGTTCAATAATCAAATGAAATGAAAAGTATTCATCACTGGGTTTGGTTTTGGGGAGACACATTTGGGTGTCTACAGAAGCCCCCACTTTGACTGAGTTTGGAGAAACGCAAGTTTCGAAAACACTCTTGATACCTGCAAACTAGCATTAGTTAAACAGATAAAAGAGTTAAGAAACGCGTATCTTGCACCGTCGAGCACACGTCTCTAGAGGTAACCGGTTTGTTGTGACGATCTTCCGCAAGCTAGAGAATGCCGCCTGAAGACTGCTACGCCTGTAACTGCCTCCAATTTCCGCTGTGATAGTCTTTGAAAAGATCACTGCTTGTTGATCCTTAATGCTGTTATGCCAGTACGTCGGCGCTTTGCTGCTTGTGAACCAGTATGTCGGTGCTTTTGTTGTGATGAAAATCCTCTTTTCTTTGGGAATAGTTGCCAACACAACTCTTGTATGATGTATGACAATCTGATTTAGGGAAAGTTGTCAATGCTTCGTAAAAATCCATCCTTGGAAATGTTGCCACGATGAAGCGACAATTCGTATCTCGGAAAATTTGCCAAAATCCAAATTTTGGGAAAAGTTGCCAATGCTTCGTAACACTCTGTCATAAGAACTTTGCTACGATCGACAATCCACATCTTGGAATATAACCTTTGAAAGCAATCCACCTTGGAAATTTTCCAACGCTATGCGACAATCCTTTTAGGAAAATATTAACACAATTGACAATCCGCGTCTTAGAACATTTGCCAAAAATGAGTCGATCGACAATCCACTTTCGGGAAAATTTTCCACTTGCTGAAATGAATGACAATCCACGTTGAGGAACTTTTTCCGAAATTTATGATGAGTAGAACCTACGACAATCCTTTGGGAAATTTTGCCATAGGGAACTGGGTGTATGACAATCCAATCTCAGAAAACTTGCCAAAGATCCATGAATGTATGACAATCGGAACTTGGAAAAACTTGCCAAACAAAGACGGAGCACGACAATCCACACTTGGAAACTTTTCCAAGGATGACAATCCAATCTTGGAAAAATTGTTGTTTGAAGAAGATGCGTGACAATCCATATTTTGCAAATATTGTCAGTTGGAGATGACAATCCAATCTTGGAAAAATTGTCGTATAAGTGATGCGCTTGCTTTTGAACCGATGCCTTGGTGTTTGTAATGAGCCAATGCTTAGGCGCTTAAGCTAAGTGAGACGCTTTTTTGTCAGGTTAATCACTTAATACGATTGTAATCGAGCCGACTACTAATCATGTTAATTTGCTTATAGGGGCTAACTGGCGTACCAAGGAACCTGAAATCACTGTATGAGGTCGAAATAACCATTCTGAGAGGCTTCGAGCTCTGTCGCTGGTGAAATATCGCTGGCTCCAAGAATTGGCTCTGTTACCAGACGCTGGGATCTAGCGCCAGGCGGTAAACTTTGTCGCCAAACGACAGATGTTGTCGTCGGGCGATAGCCTTGTCGTCTGGCGCTGGAGTCGGGTCTTCCCTATTCTGCTCTTGTTGCCGCTGTTGCTTGGTTTTGCTCCGAACTTTGAGCTTGGTCGTTTCCTTTCAACCAAATCAGCTCAAATCTTTTGTAAATTAAAGCTTTTCATCTCTAATTTACTGATCAATGTAACTCCTCTTATCTTCGAGGAATCTCCTTCATCATATTCGCGGTTTTTTTAAAAAAAAATCCGGGAATGTCCTCACTTACTGGGATGCACCTGCATTTATATCTTTTACCATAGGACTTTGCTTATATTTCTTTAGGGTTGACCTAAGACTTAGTGTTGACTCAATGTGATAACACGACATGACTCAATGTGTACATGCCTCGTGTGTGCATTGTAATGTGATTGTGCGACTCGAAAAATGCAAAAAGGCAAAAAATTTCCGTCATTTTTGTGGAGGGTACCG